TTTTTTTTTTAAATATGAGAACTTTATTTATTTGGAAGGGGTACCAAATAGAACTTTTTTTTTAGGTCATTTCCAGATGTGTTAGGCTTTTGTTAAAGCTGCAATCTCAGTGCCAATTCTTACTTTTCTGTTGCTATGCAACAGACTACTTCAAAACTTAGTGGATTACAAAAAGACAACAGTCACTTATTGTAAAACTTTCCTTAAAATTGGAAGCTTTCCCTCTGCTACATTCCAACACTCACATCCTCCCCACCATCCAAATCTAATTTGCCACACAAGAGTAAAAAATAACTAATTACAGAACTGGGACAAAGAAGTTGTAAGATAAGCCTGGAACATCTTTTTTGTACCAGAATATAAGGAAAATGCTCCAAAAAGTGAAGATTGCATATCAAAAACAAACAGGAACTAGTTTAAAGAGAAGTTTCCATAATGTAATCTGAGACCTAGTGGATTATAAACCATCAAACAAAATGAAAATCCAAGAGTACATGAAGCAAATAAATCAATTATTATATTTTTTAATAAGAAAGGGAAATCATAAAAGCATTTTATACTTAAGAATAAAAAGTAAATGCACAAAATGATGTAAAAATAAACTATTATTTTTTAAAAGAATTTAAAAAATTCCAGTGTCATCATTTTACATACCTGAAAAGCTCTTGTAGTTACCGATCAATTTTATTATGAAATATTATAGTTTCGTATATGTAATAGTTTCCCCCTCAACAGTTGGATATAGCGCATTTTACCTAAATGCTTACTTGTTTAGGAATAAGTTATTTTTAATCCAGGTTATACAGCTCTTTTTAAAACAAATCATAAAATTGTGATTTGCCACTTTTTTAATATGTGAAGCCTTTCTATTAATGTCGGATTCTTACTTCTGAGTCCACAGCTTTTGTTTCATTCATTAATTGTTTTGAACAGTTACTATATTGAGTGTGTACTATGTGGTGTGTACTATGGAACTAAGTGCCAAGTATACAGATTTGAATAAAACAGACATATCCTCTATTCTGTATTAGAGAGACTTGTTAAATATTTCTTTGCAGATCTAGAGTGATCATTCTGTGTAATTCCTCATTAATATTAAGGGTTGATTTTTCTATTTTTAGACATTGTTGACATTTTAAAACTAACAGTGTCTTTGAGATGAATTTAACTTTGAAGGTTAGGTTTTTTAAATTGAAAAATAATTGAGTATTTGATTGTAAATTAAATGTCTTAGAACATTTTCATTAAAATATTCATTTTAGGTAATTAAAACTTCAAATATATTTCCCTTGGGTAAAAATTTTCTCAAACCCAAATAGACATTTTTGGCATTGGTCAACTTAATAATACACCCAAGGGTTGTTTTAAAGAGTAGTACAGTTGTTGGCTTATCTCACTGACAGTAGAAGAAAAAGACCAAGGTCGTATTCAAGATACGATACCTAACAGTAACTTAATAGTTTAAGACCAAAGTTGTTTATTATCCAGTTTGTGGCTTTTTACAACAACTTGACAAATCTCAGTTGAGCTTGCTATCTGGAAAACTACCTAGGATTGACTACACTGACACAGATGGAAATGTGGAAGGCTAATGAGACAATAGCTAATATTTGAATGTGTGGAGTCATAGGCTACTCTAGTGACATAAAAGTATACTTTTTGCATTTTAAATGTAAAATATATTGAATATAGTATTGTTTTTTGGGTTACCAAAAAAATTATTGTTTTACACATTCTGCTACAAATATCTAAGAAATCTTTTTAATTGAAATAATATTTGGCTTATGTGTAGCTTTTAAGTATACAACATTATAAATCAATATCTGTACATGTTGCATTTATGTTCACCTCCAAAAATCTGATTTCCATTCTTCCTATAACTAACGAGCCCCTCTACCAGTTTACCCAGCCTCCTTCCCCCTTTTCTTCCATTAACCACTATTTTTTCTTAGTCTACTATTTGTTGTTGTTTATCTTTCACATATGAGTGAAATCGTTTTTTGTTTTTGTTTTTGTTTTGTTTTGTTTTTTTCTCAGTCTGAATTCACTAAGCATAATGTCCTCTAGGTCCATTTCCATTGTGGCAAATGGCAGAATGTTTTAGTGCTTTGGGGAGGTAGATTTTAGGAATCCATTTACTTCTAGGATATATTGTATGTAAAAATGTGATCTTTGATATGATTTGTAGGTAGCTATGCTTAGAAATTGTTACTTGCAAAGGATAATAGTTTTATTTTTTAGTATATGTAGAAACTCAGAGGGAATAAATAGTTCTCAGGCATATGTTGAGATGGTTTATTCAATCAGTTAAATATTTGAATGATTGCTCTGGACCAATCTCTGCAAGCTTACCCTGGACAAAATTTGGGAAATTAAAAAAAAAAAATCATTAAACCTACTTATTTTGTTGTTCTTTTTTTTCTTTCAGACCTGTCACGAAACCGACTCTCAGAAATTCCAATAGAAGCATGCCATTTTGTTTCTCTGGAGAATCTCAATTTGTACCAAAATTGTATTCGGTATATACCAGAAGCAATTCTAAACCTGCAAGCACTAACATTCCTGAACATTAGGTAAGAATATTGTTTCTTTTTTTCCTAAGTTTTGCTTTTATGTGGTCTTCTCAATTTTCTCTTCCTTTCACTAAAAGTTGTACACTCATATCAGCTGTATTTACACATGGTTAGTCTATATTAACAGTGTTTCCCTGTGTCCTTTTAGTTTCACCCTTTGTATTTGTCTTTGCAACAGTTAACAAATCCTGCTAGCAGTTAGTATGGTAAATTTGCAGCAGACATGTAGCAGTGATTCTCCAGTTACATTTTCAGATGAGTTTTATCAAATAAGAACAGTAGTTCTGAAATTACTTTGGTTCTCATAATTGTATATTTTTGTGTGTTACATTCTGAATGTATTTGTTTACCTCATGTTTTTCATTTCTCACAAGAAACTCACTATAAAAGTCGTAAATGTCCATTGACAAAATTACAGATGTATTTGAAAAGCGTAAAGGAAGTTTGTCAATGTTGTATGAGTCATAACAGGTGATCTTTTTCCCTTTTCTAGTCTTTTAGTCATACTTCTTTAGTGAATTTTCTCCTCTTGTTACTAACATCCTTTGAAAAATTTTTTTTTGCTTTTTAAAAAATAATATAGTTTATTTTTACATTATTTTGTGCATTTTTCCATCTCTGAAAATATTTATATGTAACCATTTTATTGTACAATTTATATACTTCTAAAACTTCATTTCCTTCAGATATTTGATAAAAATAGTAAATAAGAATAAAAGGAGAGATTTTTTATGTAGATGTTTGTTTTCCTCTTTCTCTAAGATAAATGCCTTAGAATAAGATTATTAGATTAAAAAGCTTTAAAGGCTTATGAAATATATTAATCAGTAAAATATCTTGAAACAAGGGAGGAAATTGGTTATAAGGGTTAAGATCTTAAGTCTGTATAGGTAAAATTTTAAATTTTTATCCTGGGGTCCCCCTAGTGACCCAACAGATTAAAGTGCAGCACTCTAGCCACAGCCACAGCAGCAGTTTCATCGATGGCCAGGTAGCTGATCCGCATGGTGTAGCAGACTTACCCTCTCTTACCTGCTGCTCCCCTCAGCAGTGTACTTTGTCACTCTCCTGTTCTGCTTCCCACTGTCTCTGGTGAATCCCTCTCACTGTCCCCTGTACCTCTGGCCTGTACCCCAGTTCTGTATGCATAAGTAAGTTTTTATCCTGATGATAAATATGTTCTGTTGTTCTTTTAGTTCTGATTTGTATAAAAGATCCCAAATTATATCCTGTTTCTTGTTTTCTTTTTTTAAAAATTTATTTATTTATGCATACAGAACTAGGGTACAGGCCAGAAGTACAGGGGTGGTGAGAGGATTCACCAGGGACAGAGTAGGGAGCAGAACAGGCAGATTGATGAAGTATACTGCTGAGGGCAGTGGGCAGGTAAGGAGAGATATGCCGTGCCATGTGGATCACCTCCAGGGCTGGGGGTTGAACTCGCACTGAAGAGGCTGCGGCTGGCTTGCAGTGCTGTGCTTTAACTGGTTGCACCACCAGGGAGGTCTGTTTCTTGTTTTCTATAGAATACTATGTTTGGGTATTTTATGTACGTTTTGTTTTAATACTGCAAGATAGGAGAAGTGGATTATAAACATGTTAATATATGTATCCTATTTTATTAATTTTTTTTAAAGATTTATTTATGCATACAGAACTAGGGTATAGGCTAGAGGTGCATGGGTGGTGAGAGGACTCCCCAGAGACAGAGTGGAAAGCAGAACAGGCAGATCAATGAAGTACACTGCTGAGGGGAGCAGAAGGTGAGACAGTAGAGATCTGATGCGTTATGTGGATCACTTCGGGGGTTGGGGATCGAACTTGCACTGAAGCCGCTATGACTAGCTAGCAGTGCTGCGTCCTAACCTGTTTTGCCACCAGACAGTGCCTATTTAAATATCCTATTTTAAACCCATCATTTTCTTTTATAAATTTTACTTTAATAATGTGCTAATATAATGTGTTTATATATCAGTTTACAAATAAGGAATCTGTATAAGATGCAGTAAAATACTATGTCTAAAACAGAGCTGTAAGTGAGAAAACACAGGCTAGAATTCACTTCTAATATCCTGTTTGTTCCTTACAGCTTATATATTTTACTTTACTGAGTATAGAGTGTGAAAACTGGAAACTTTTCTTGAATGGTGGCCACTGACATTTCTCTTTTTGTACTTACCCATTTAGTCGGAATCAACTATCAACATTGCCAGCTCATTTGTGTAATTTACCATTGAAAGTTTTAATTGCTGGTAATAATAAATTGGTCTCACTTCCAGAAGAAATTGGACATCTCAGACATTTAACAGAACTTGTAAGTTAATATTTTACCATTGTTGAACATTTATGCCTATGGCACAGACCCATTATGAAGGTGTGTTTGTGTGTGATTTTTCAGGAATTGATAATATCCTTAAATGATCAGTACTCAAATACTTTGGTCCTAGAATTAAGGAAGAACTGAAGTGGGGAGGGAACCCAGTGGAACATGATAGATGAGTGGTGGATGTGGTGTATTGAAAAACATTTGCAGAGGTGAACCTATATCCCTAAATTATATACAGCGTTGTAAAGCAGTGTTGCATCAATTAAAAAAAAGGAAAGAAAATGAATGTACAAGTTTTATAGATCACTTGATATGGGAAAGGGTAATTAAAATTTGGTTTTAACTATTAAGTGAATTCTATAGCATTAAACTTTTCGATATAAGCTAATACTGTATTTGAATTTGAAATATTAATTTGACATCTTGAGCTTCTATTCACCTAGATTGTTGCCTCTTCCAATATATGGGCTTACAGATTATACTAGCTGGTCTCAGAATTATGGAAAATTCCATCTTATTGATTTTAGAATCTGTAATCAATCTTATCAGAACCACTGAAGTCACACTTTCAACCAAGATCTTTGAAGGCCTGTTTAGTATGTGTTGGGATAAGGCTGACCTGTTGTTCATAAAGCAACATCTGTTTTCTGCGTATGTGTACTTTGGATTATGTGTACTTTATTATTTTTCCCTCACGTTCAGTAATGGGATAATTTAATATAAAGAGGGATTTGGGTCTTCCTTTTTTTTTTTTAAGATTTATTTATTTATGTATACAGAATTGGGGTACAGGCCAGAGGTGCAGGGGCAGTGAGGGGATTCACCAGAGACAGAGTGGGGAGCAGAACAAGCACATCAATGAAGTATATACTCTAAGGGGAGCAGTGGGCTAGTCTGGAGAGAGGTCTGTCGTGCAATGTGGATCACCTCAGGGACTGGGGATCGAACTCATAGCCGCTTGAGTGCTGTGCTTTCACCTATTGTGCACCAAGGAGAGTCTATTTGGGTCTTCGCAATTGCATTTTTATTTTATACTCTTCAACAGTTGAGCTAGTATTTTGAAAATAGACTTTTCTTTCAATTCTGTCATTATAATTTTTATCAGTTTTGCTTTCTTCTAGTTTTTAAAATAACAAATATTGTTCTAAATAAATCCATTTCTATATTTTCTGTTTTACCTTTCATCAACATTTTCATTTGTTCAGGTATTACAGGCCTCCTGTCCACATACTATGTCAATTAATTTTAGTTTTCCTCACACAATTAATGAACTATATAAAATGTATAGAGTGGATCAGAAGTCTGTATGTTTTTCATATTAAATGCTAGTATAAACTATAGAATTATTCTTGTCCAATCTCAGTTTATATTTTAAACAGGTTGGCAATATTAGAACAGTTCTTTACTTTGTATCTTTTTAAAAAATTTTATGTATTTTTGACATTATTCTTCATTTTTGTACAGTGTATGCTTTCTCATCTCGGTTATAGTCCCTGTGAAATTCCCACCGCCGATTCACCCATGAACCATCAATGTAGTTTTCTCTTCCCACCCCTGTTTTGATCCTAGTCCCCTCTCCCCACCCTGCCAATGTCTCTGGTTACTTTGATTCTTTTTGAAATAGGATGTGAGCTGCAATGAAATTCAAACAATACCTTCCCAAATTGGTAATTTGGAGGCATTGAGAGACCTTAACATAAGAAGAAATCACTTAGTACGTTTGCCTGAAGGTAAGAATATGTGACATAATTATTTTATAATTTTTTTCTTTTTACTTTAAAGGTCGTCAGTTGATATAATCAGCAACTCAGGGTAATGTTATTGTAAGTTTCAGTAAGCATAACTACTTGGGGGAAATATATAGCATGATTTTGATAAGGGGATAATTTAATATAAAGGAAACATTCCAGCAGTTAGCACTGACTTAAAAATGAACTTGATTTAAACTTACCAACTTTGTCCTCAACTGGAAATGTTCTTACAGAAGTAGCATTTGTTGAGGCAGTATATAAGCGTGAATAATGAATGGAAGGAGAGACTTCACTAATCTTAAAGACTGTTTTGTCTCAGATTGAGAGTGAGCTGCGGTGTGGTGAAAGTGTATTGATAAAATTTATCAATCTTTCAAAAATAGAAATTCATGAAAGAAAATGGTACAAGTGGGGCCCTCCCTGGTGGTGCAACGGGTTAAAGCACAGCACTATGAAGCTAACCACAGCCACTGCAGCATGGGTTTGATCCCGGCCCGGGAGGTGACCCACATGGCACAGCAGACCTCTCCTATCTTGCCTGGTGCTCCCCTCAGCACTGTACATTGTCAGTCTGCCTGTTCTGCTCCCTATCCTGCCTCTGGTGAATCCTCTCACATCCTCATCTCTGGTCTGTACCCTAGTTCTTATGTGCATAAATAAATAAATCTTTAAAAAAGAAAATGCTACAAATTGAAGTGAAATGAGGAGATTCATTTTATTACATCAGAATAACTACTCCTATAATTTTATTTAGGAATTTTAAAAATATGAAATAAAGAAATGAACCTCTATGTACTCATCACCCAGCTACAGTAATAATTAATTGCAGCTCATTTAATCTATATGCGCACTTACTTTCCCTTACTTTATCCATTAAATGAATTTGAAACAATCTCAAGAAAATTTTCTGTAAACTTCAGAATGTATATCTTAAAAGATAAGAAATCTTCAGAGGGTTTTTCCATGATAATGAATCTTTAGATAACCTATAATATATGATTTATAGTAAACAGTAAATATTGACTAGTAATACTTTTGCTTGTACAATCCAGATTTTTACACCAATTTGATACAGTTTGACGTTTAGTTTAACATCCTTCCAGTTCTACTTTCTACCACTTTAGAACTGTGAATAAAGAGACCCTCTGCAGAACTGACCTAATCATGACATACATGACTTTATAACCCAACATTTGTTTAGGGAAACAACCCCTCTCTACTCAGGATGCATTTCCTATGGTTGATCATTAAACTCTTACAAATGTACTAATACTGACTTACTTTGAAATAAATTAATGAAAACCTTGGGGATTTGGTGGAAATTAAAATTCAGGATTTCAGATTACAATTGCAGTTTAATAGTTTTGTCATCTAATTTATGTCTATCTTATTTTGAAAGTACATTACAAAAAAAATTGTAAAAAACACAGTTTCAAATGGTTTTTCATCAGCTTATCCAGTTATTTTGGCATATTTAATTAAATTGAGGTGTTAGGTAAAGCTTTGTTCTACACGGGTTAGTGTAGAGTTAATCAGTTAACTTGCTTATTAGTAAGTAGTTAATTGTGAATCTCTGTCATACCACAATTTGGTAGGTATTATGTCTTTTTGTTGACATTTTGATTTTTAATTAATTTTAGCTTTTTTTTTTTTAAGATTTATTTATTTTATGCATGCAGAGCTGGGGCACAGGCCATAGGTACAGGAGCAGTGAGAGGATTCACCAGAGACAGTGGGGAAAAGAACAGGCAGATCAACGAAGTACACTGCTGAGGGGAGCAGCAGGTGGCACCATGTGGATCACCACCTGGGTGGGGATCGAACTCATGCTGAAGTGGCTTTAGCTTCTTAGTGCTGTGCTTTAACCCACTGGGCCACCAGGGAGGGCCCAATTTTAACTTTTATCAAATAGTATATCAGTCAAAAAGTCATTTGGTATTTAAAAACTTAAATAAGAACCACAACCACCCCTCCTCCCTAGAAGCCTCTACTTTCAGACACTTTGACTCTGTCCTCTTATATTTGCTGACTTAAATGATGTACTTTAAAAATAAAAAAAGATTTACTTACTTATGCTACAGAACTGGGGTACAGGCCAAAGGTGTAGGGGCGGTGAGAGGGTTCACCAGAGATAGTGGAGAGCAGAACAGGTAGACTGACGAAGTACACTGCTGAGGGGAGCAGTGGGCGGGTCAGGAGAGGTCTGCTGCATCATGTGGGTCAGCTCCGGGGCAGGGATCAAACTCAATGCTGAAGTGGCTTTAACTTCTTAGTGCTGTGCTTTAATCTGCTGCACCACTAGGGAGGGCCCTAAATGATGTACTTTTAATGCTGTTGCTGTATTTATCAACTTTTGCCCTTTATGAACGCTTCCTATTATGGTACAAGATTTTGCTTCCTTATTCTGTTACCAGCATACCTTTCCTCCCCTCTTCTCACCTTTCCAGTGTGGTTTTATCACAACTCTGATTAAATTGGTATCCTTGCTTATATTGTTGTAAATGTATGTTATTTCCTGCCAGTTCAAGTGATATACACTGATTTGATTTCCTGTCTTGTACATCTTTTTGTTATTGTTTTTTTCTAGAGTTAGTTGTTCCTTTTTTAAAGAAAGATTATTTATGCATACAAGAACTGGGGTACAGGCCAGAGGTGTGGGACATGAAGAGATTCCCCAGAGTGGTGAACAGAACAGGCAGATGGACTGAAGTACACTGCTGAGGGGGCAACAGGCGGGACAGGAGAGGTCTTACTGTGCCATGTGCGTCAGCTCCCTGGCCGGGAATCCAACAGGTGCTGCAATGGCGGCAGATAGCCTCACAGTGCTGTGCTTTAACTCCTTGCACCACCAGGGAAGGCCCTCCCTTTTAATGAACTTAGTTTTTTATGTGCCTATTAATTTCTCATTTTTCAGTAACCTTTTTTTTTTTTGTCAAGCCAGTCAAGTATCTGTGTTGTGGTTTTTGTTTTTTGGTTTTTGGGTTTATTTTAATTCTACATATTTCTTCATTGAGTCTCTTTTTCCTTTTCTTTCAGTTTGGATGGTTTTCTGTTATTGCTGCCCAAATTTCCTTTATGAAAGTTACTTTTTTTCATGGACTCTCTCTCCCTCGTTTACTTTTTTTTTTTTTTAATTCAAGCTTTATAATATAATTGACAAACAATCCCCCTTTCTTACTTTACTCCCTTGTTTGCTGGAAAACATCTTCTGGTGGTTTCCAAAGAACATGACATGGGAAAATTTTTTTTGAAAACTTACTTGAAAAAAATGTGCTTTTTCTTTGTAGATCCTTGATTATTAATTTGCTTGGCTGTAGATTCTAGGTCGAAAATTATTTTCTCTGAGTCCTTTGTCACCAATTTTTTTCTTTTTGGAAAATTTTAACCTTTCTCTGAAATATGATGTGCCCTCGTATGAGTTACTTTAGTTCATTGTGCTGGATTTTGTTGAGCTTTTTTCTAGGGATTTGTACTCTTTATTCTAAAAATTATATCTCTTTGATAATTTCTTCTCTTCTGGTTTCTGTGTTCTCTTTTTAGTTTTTTTTAAAGATTTATTTATGCATACAGAACTGGGGTACAGGCCAGAAGTACAAGGGTGGTGAGAGGATTCACCAGAGACAGAGTGGGGAGCAGAACAGGTTGACTGACAAAGTGCACTGCTGAAGGGAGCAGTGGATGAAACAGGAGAGGTTTTCTGCACCGTGTGGGTCCCCTCCCCTCAGGGGCAGGGACTGAACTTTTGCTGAGGTGGCTGCAGATAGGTTTGGCTTGCAGTGCTACACTGTAATCCATGGCTTTTAGAGTTTTTATGAACTGGGTATTAGGCCCCTTTAATAGATCATATAAATTTCCTTATCTGTTCTATTTTTCATTTGTTAGTTTTTCCCAGTGGTAAAAGTTTGAGCCACTTATGTTCTAGCCATTTCTTAATTTTTAACCTTCTGCCATCATGCTTTTATTTCTAAGAACCCTTGTCATTTTGTAATTTTTTTTTAAAAAAAGCTCTTTTTTAATTTCAGTTATTCAGTACTTTACTTTATTATAGTTTTTCAAAGTTTTCTTCTGTTTCCTCTGTTACCTATTTCTTCTCAATTGGTTTGTTTAGTTAAATTTCCGTCTTAAGTCTTGGGGGCTTTTCTAAATGTCTGCATCCTACATTGTCTATATAAAGCTTATTAGAAGTTCTGAATTAAGCAGCAAACTGGGTGTTTGGGAAGAGAAACTCTACATCAAACTCTGTATCAGGTCTGCTGTGCCATGTGGGTTAGCTCTGGTCATGGATGGATTTTGTGCTGCAAAGGCTGCCAGTAGTTTTGTAGTGCTGAGACTTAACCCCTTGCACCACCAGGAAGTACTCATTAGAACTCTAAATCTGTAAGTAACTGGATTTCATCTTATTCCCCTTTTGTTATCTCAGTTAATGGCTGATCGCAAATAGAGCTGAATACCTATATTAGATGCACTATATATGTACCTAGAAAGTGAAGTAAAAATTATATAGCTTTAAGTACCATTAATTGTTCATTTCCATTTTACCTGCTTGCAGAACTGGCAGAGTTACCTTTGATCCGGTTAGACTTCTCCTGCAATAAGATTACAGCAATCCCTGTTTGTTATCGGAACCTTAGGCACCTACAGATGATCACCTTAGATAACAACCCATTACAATCTCCTCCTGCACAGGTAAGCTTAGTTGATTTAAAGTATGCTATGAACTTTTTAACAAAGGTGGTGAAATTTAAAACTTTATCTATGAGGTTAGTGTTCTGTTTAAATTAAGTTTTTTAAAAATAAATTTGCATACATACATATCTTTTAGAAATCTTGAATAAAATGGGATGCAAGATAGCTGATATTTCCAGAAGTGTTTTTTCTTTTTATAATTTTTTTTAGTTAAGAGGTTCTAAAAATTTTTTCTAGTGATTTGAATAATTACTGTCTAGTAAAGTATAAATGTAAATAATGTAAATGCTAATGACAAGTAAAAATACTTGTCTTTCAAATAAAAGGATAATTTATCAATGCAAATCTTCTGACCAATGTTTTTGTACCCTTCTATTTTCTAAAATCACAAATTTCTTATTTGGTCATTTTTGTTGTTTGCTTATAAATGTCTGAAATGAATCTGTTAGTAATTAAGTCTTTGTACTATACCTTTATAGTTTCTATATATCCTATAATAAAAAAAAAATTTTGTTAACCCGTATGTTTGACTATAACTTCTTTTACTCTGCAGTCTATCTCTGGTCTTGTTTATACATTTATATGGCAATGTAAGGCTTTATGAGTAAACTTCTTAACTGTAGATGGGTCTCATAATCCTAATTATGTTTTGACTTTTAACAGATAGCAATAGAAATACATATATTTATATACATTGTTTATATATACTATACTTATAACTTTAATATCTAATCATTTCCTGTTACTGTATCTTAGAGAAAGTAGAAATGAAAAGTTATACGTGATTGTTAGATTGTGAAAGCAAAAGTTGCCTATAATCTATGGGGAAGAAATGCTTTAAACCCTATTTGCCTAACTAACCAATGTGATCAGTTAACTTTGTATTCTAACAGTGTTTGAAATCATGATTTATTTTATGTACTACTGAAACTTACTATGATTAGAAGCAAAACCTATATTTGTAACACTCCTAAATAACATCTAAAATTAACAATATAATTTGTTATAATAACTATATAATTATTATCTGTGCTTAATGTAGGTATCATCTGTTTCCTGTAAAAGATAACAAGGTGATTTGTGATTTAAAAAAGGGATAAATGTTACAGATGAGTAATGTGGTTGCATTTATGTTATTTTATTTAGATATGTATAAAAGGTAAAATCCACATATTTAAATACCTGAACATACAAGCTTGTAAGATTGCTCCAGATCTGCCAGATTATGACAGGAGACCCTTGGGTTTTGGCTCTTGGTGAGTATATTCTATTCTTTTATTTATCATATTCCATCAAGAGGGAATCAAATAAACTGGACCATAAAACTGCCTGAATGTTTGAAAATTATACATATCTATAAGTCCAGACTCTATAATAATCCCTGGTTATGCTAAGTAATTAATGTCTTTTATATTTTCCATTTTTCAGTAGTTAATATTATTTGTAACTATCAATATTTCAGAATAATCTAGAAATTATATATTATTATATGTACCCTAGAAGTTATTTATATAATATATACATATCCTAGAAATATATAAATTATTTATGCATCAGTGAATGAGATATTCCACCTCACTGACTTTCTCTCTGAGTTAGATATGGGTAAAATTACACTGTGGTTAATAGCACATATATTCAAGGTACCATCATCGAGTCAGAAGGCATGGTTCTCTTTAGATCCCCATACTCTTGGGCAATCCATTTAACTTCTCTGAACCTTAGTTTCTTCCATATGATCTTTACCTGTTTATATTTTTATAATAGTTCTGAGGATTGAAGGAATATTTCTAAAAATGTTTTGCTGAATTTTAGTAAAACTCTTTGTAAGTATTGGGGTAATTACTAAGTCTGCTGTGATCTAGGACCAATTTATAAAGCCTTAAGAATCCTATTTTGCTAAAGAGAATTTTTATTACTCTTATAGCACTTTGGATATTCAGTTCAAATTGGATGCTATGGTACTGTTAGTCCTTAGATGTAGTTTTCTGACTACTTATGTCTGACATAAAAACAACACCCAAACTGGCTTAAATCGTTTTAAAAAGGTCACAAATGTTTTATTCATTTCCAATTGCGCTATGTAGTGACCTATGCCTTTTTTGTTTAGATTATTTTAGGCAGCTTTATGTTACAGACTAAATATATTTATTTGTGATGATATGGCAGTGAACCAAAACTAACAAAAGACTACGTCACTGGTAAGGGAAGTTCCACTTTTGTAACTCTGGTTATGTAATTGAGTCTCTCCAACAAGTCTGACCTTACAAAAGCAGTGGACATCCTTTGTTCATATTTATGTGGTTAGCACCTCAAACACTGCCTGGTATTCAGTAAGTGTTTTGGTGGACAAAAAGATGTTTAGTGTCTTGTTATAATAGATTATGTTCTCTTTAAGTGTACATTCTTCATAGAAGTAATAATAGCTTTTATGGAGTACTTTGTACAGACTTTGTACAGGTCCTTAGCTATATTTTCTCAATCTTTATAGCAGCCTAAGGTAGACATTGACCTGTGAGGAAACAGTTGAAAGAGGCTAACAAGTTAGTCATATAACTAGAAAATAATTGTGTCAAGTTGTCAGTTCAAATCTGTTAAACAGTCAGAAAGCCACCTTCTCGGCTCTTCACTGCAGTATTACTGATTTATTAAGGAAACTGCTTTCTAGCTTCTTGAAGGCCATTCTTATACAAAGCCTGACCATCTGTTCTGATTTGCCTGTGATTGAGGTTTATTGGGACACAGAAGTTTTAGTGCTAAAACCAAAATAACTCTTAAACCCAGAAAACTGGTAAATGTGTATGTCTTACTTTAATCTCTGAACCAAGGAAAATATATGCAAACACTAAAGATAACTGAATAAGTATAAAAGAATAGCTTAATTCAAAGATTTTATTCATTCTTTTTATGCTGCCCACTTGAAAAGTATTGCAGTAAAGTAGACATATCTTGAGTGGTCACTTGATATAGAATAAAACAGTATCCTCTAGAAATCTTAAAAGCTTTACTGAAAAAAATTACATATTAAAAAAGCGCTCTTTAGTTAATCTTTAAATACACATATTTCTCTTGGCACCTGTACAAAACTTTTTAAAGAATGACTTAAATAAATATTTTGTCAAAAAGCTTTCAAAATTTGGCACCTTGTCCTGACTTTGCTGTGATCAAACATATAGGACCTATCCTTAGGTTCTGGACTTTAAAGGAAGCATAAAGAACAGACATGTCATATAGATGAAATATAAAAAATCTTTTGTTTCTTTTTTTTATTTTACTATATATAAAATATTTTGCTTACATGCTAACAATGTATAGGTCTAGGTGAAAGGTGAATGGACATTCATTGTACTATACTCCAGCTCTTGTATAAATACGACTTTTTTCAAAAGAAAAATGAGGGATAATTAATTGCGGTTCTTTTAGTAAACCCATTGTAGAATTATATAGAGATACTTTTTGCTGAATAATCTTTGTGGAGGAGTGTAGGAAATGATACACGTTGCCATAAAGATACTCACATTTTTGCTCTCTATAATAAATATGTTTCCCTTTCCTAAAATTTTATATAAATGAAATCAAATTTCATATAAGTGAAATCAAACATTTTATATCTGGGTTCTTCACAAAATGGTTTTAAGATTATCTTATAATGGCCAAAAGTTATGAACAGATAATTCACAAAAGATGATCTATGAATGATATATGAATAGTTACTAAGCACACAAAAAGGTATTCAATATCACTAATAATCAGTGAAATAAAAATTAAAACCACCAAGAAACCATTTTATAGCTATCAAATTGAAGACAACATACAAAATATGGCAACTGAAACTCAAATATACATTACTAGTACAAAATAATATAGCTACTTTTGAAAAACAGATTGACAGTTTTTTAAAGAACTAAGTCTATACTTAACTATTTAAAAAGCTCAGACTACAAAAGTAGATGACTGGCTTAAAAAAATGTGGTACATAAACAAAATGGAATATTACCCAGCAATCAAAAAAAATAAACACATGCCTTTTGTAGCAACATGGATGGAGCTGGAGAAGATCATGCTTAGTGAAATAAGCCAGAAAGGAAAGGAAAAATACCAGATGGCTTCACTCATAGCAGGAGTATAAAAGACAAGGGGAGAAAATAATAATAATAATGATGAACAACTATATACCAGAGACATTTTAGGGGGTAGAGTGGGGAATAGGATCAAAAACGGTAGGGGGAGGGAAGTGCACTGGACTATGGTGATGGCACACGGGTGATTTGATGATGGGAAGCCCACAGGGATTACAGCTGAAATGGAAAAAGGCACAAAATGATGTAAAAATAAACTATTATATTATTTAAAAAAAAAAACTCAGACTATATTTACCATACCATTCTGCTCCAAGGTATTAAAAACATGGGGAATTTTATTTACATGCTGAATAAGGAAAGCCAAATAAAAGTAGTCCGTTTTCATGAGTTTTAAAATAGGCAAAACTAACTGCATTACTGTTGCCATACCAAAGTACTACAAATTTAGCAACTTAAACAACACAAATTTGTTTTCTTACAATTCTGTAGGTCTCAAGTGTAAATCTTGATCTCATCTGGCTAAACTCAAAATGCTGGCAGAGTTGACTGCTTTGCTACAGGCTCTGAATGGGATGCATCCTTATCTGTCAACATCTAGAGGTTTTTTGCACTCCTTGGCCTTTGGTCCCCTTCTTCCATCTTCAGGAGGGCATTGCATTAGACTCTTGCCTCCCTCTTCCTCTTTTAAGGACCCTTTGATTACATTGAATCCATATAGTGAAGATAATTTTCCTATTTTAAGGTCAGCTGATTAGCAACCTTATTTCTTTATATCCACAACCTTAATTCCCCTGTTGTCATGTAAAATAATATACCTACAGGCCCCAGGGGTTAGGTTTTTGAAATCTTTGAGGATCATTATTTTGTTTTCTGTACTAGTTTAATTTGAAAAAAGTCAAAATGGTTTTTGCCTCATAGGGCACACTGGCAGGGAGAGGGAAATATACGGAATATACAGAAATTTTCATGCAAAGAAGAAATAAATATATCATGATAGAATTGTGTTACAAAAATATTCATTTGTTAAACTTAGTTAATATATGTATATTTCAATGT